CTTCCAACTTGCGATGCCTTCTAAAAAGACAGAAAACCAGACACAGGGCGATCTGATTCACAGAATCAGCATCCTCAAAAGGAGCGTTCAAGTCCCACTTTTTGCTGGATTTTGATTGACCAGTCATTAGAGAAAGAAAAGGGCTTAAGGAAAAAGAGATCTCGAAAAGCAGTCAACTGCGCTTTCTAAGCCCCCACTTTTTCTCTTACCATTTCTGTACTTGTCGGATAATGGCGAGGTTGCATTTTCAAATAGACTCTCCTAGTTGATGGATAGATTACTCATCAGCTGGGGTTATTTAGGGTGCGCATGATAACCATTCTGTTCCGGAATGAGTTCCTGAACCAGAAATAGATTTTTCTATTTCTGGTTCCTGGATGAGTTTCTGAGAAAAAAAACCTGTTTGATAACGACCAACAATTTCTATTTCTAGAACAGAAACCCGTTTGATAACAGCACAAAATTTCTATTTCCTGAAATAAAAACCCGTTTGATAAACAATAGAAAATTCTATTTCCAGGAACAAAAATCTATTTTTTTTAGAAATGGAATAAAAATAATAAAAAATCCGAAAAATTCATAAAAATCTTTAAAAAAATTTAGAAAATCCCAAAAAATTGAAAAATTCCAGAAAAAATCATCAAAATGTCGAGAAAATAAAAAAAATTTAGATTTTAGGAAAATAGGAAATTTGTTGAATTTTTTCAAAAAAAATCAAGAAATCAAAAATTTCAAAACTTCACAGAATTGCTTAGAATACCTGTGGCCACCCACTTTTAGTGAAATTTAAATTTTTTTAGGTGCCCAAAAAAAATCAAAAAATCAAAAATTTTCAAAACTTCACAGAATAGTTTAGAATACATGTGGCCACCCACTTTGAGTGAAATTTTAATTTTTGGAGGTGAAAAAAAAGCAAAAAATCAAAAATTTCAAAACTTCACAGAATGACTTACAATACCTCTAGCCACCCACTTTGAGTAAAATTTAATTTTTTTTAGATGCCCAAATGGTATTTTTTATTTATTTTTTATTTTTTTTGGTTCCTAAAGAAAATTAAATTTCACTCAAAGTGGATGGCCACATGTATTCTAAGCCACTCTGTGAAATTTTGAAAATTTTTCTTTTTTGCTTATTTTTATTTTTTTTCGACACCTAAAAAAAATTAAATTTCACTCAAAGTGGGTGGCCACAGGTATTCTAAGCAATTATGTGAAGTTTTTTATTTTTTATTTTTTTATTTTTTTTCGGCACCTAAAAAAATTTAAATTTCGCTTAAAGTGGATGGCCACAGGTATTCTAAGCCATTTTGTGAAGTTTTGAAATTTTTTATTTTTTTTTATTTTTTTTATTTTTTTTGGCAACTAAAAAAATAAAATTTCGCTCAAAGTGGGTGGCCACAGGTATTTTAAGCCATTTTGTAAAATTTTGAAATTTTTACTTTTTTGCTTATTTTTATTTTTTTGGCATATAAAAAAATTTAAATTTTACTCAAAGTGGGTGGCCACAGATATTTTAAGCTATTCTGTGAAGTTTTGAATTTTTTTATTTTTTTTATTTTTTTCGGCACCTAAAAAAATTTAAATTTCACTCAAAGTGGATGGCCACAAGTGTTCTAAGCCATTCTATGAAGTTTTGAAATTTTTGATTTTTTGCTTTTTTTTATTTTTTTCGGCACCTAAAAAAATAAAATTTCGCTCAAATTGGGTGGCCACAGGTATTCTAAGATATTCTGTGAAGTTTTTAAATTTTAGAATTTTTTATTATTTTTTATTTTGTTTTTTGGCAATTAAAAAAATTAAATTTTGCTCAAAGTGGGTGGCCATAGGTTTTCTAAGCCATTTTGTGAAATTTTTTATTTTTTATTTTTATTTATTTTTTTCGGTACCTAAAAAAATTTAAATTTCACTGAAAGTGGGTAGCCACAGATTCTAAACCATTCTGTTAAGTTTTGAAATTTTTGATTTTCTGCTTTTTTTTCTCACCTCAAAGATCGTGACTTCCATATGAATATGTGTGTTGAAGAAAATGAATTCCTCAGAAATGGTTCTCACTTTTGTTCCAGAAATGAAAAACCAACTTTTTTTTGGTTCTCATTTCTGGTTTCAGAATCAGTTTTGGAAGCAAACTTGTCCCGGAAATAGAAAAATGAAATTGCGTTACCAAACGGGTTTCTGGTCCAAAACTGATTATGGGAACAAAAAACCAGTTCTGGACAGAACCAGAATGGTTTTCATGCAGCACCTTACGTAGCTGGAGAGCATTTTATGACTTTATGTCGCTTAATCTAATGTCATAAGTGAGTCATAAGTGATGTATTACATGGAAAATCAAAGGGCCGGTGTAAAATAATCCAATCCTATAACCATCGTCAATGATGAGTCGGAACTCTCAATTGATTCCGGAGTTGTATATGTGCATAGTTTCTTCTCCACGCAAGATTTTCAGGTACTCTTATCATTTGGAGTAGCGATTTTCTCATCAATGGCATCTCACATTTTTTTGACATACCATTATCTAGGTAGCCACGTCTTATCATTTTGCCAACATGGTAACATCAAACTTTTGAAATTCGGGTAATTTGATCCACTGGTACTATCATTACCACCTCGATTAAACTGCATGAATAGTTCCTCATATTTTGAGGTCAAATTCTTTGAATAAAAAACAAGGAAACGTGATTTGCATCGGCAAAATGGATAACCCGATGCAGTACAAATACGTGGATGCATGGATATGGATGACCAAAACGGGTACGTAACTTTGAATATTCCCACTTTGGCTACTACGCGCATCACGTGGAAAAAAACAATGCGTATAGATCGTGGGAGATCTACCAGAGAAACAAAGTCATCTCCATCTTTATCATCGTTCCATGTCGAGCTCCTCGTTTAAAGTTCAACCTAACTCCATCTGCTTTTTACTCGTTTGGAAAGAGATCTTATTCCATGAAAAAGCAGATCGTTCACATGCTACATTAAAGTTGCCAACCCCCTCTCTCTCTCTCTCTCTCTCTCTCTCTCTCTCTCTCTCTCTCTAGGTTTTATGAGGGTAAAGATGGCGGTGGCAAGTTGCAAATTCAATGAGAAAGCCCCACACCCATTTTCAGTTTTGAATTCCGAAGGAGTCTAATGACCATGCGATGTATGAAGAGTGAGTGCAAGTCGTGGTTGCTAATAGAAGGCAACGCCAAAGCACATTCTTAACATGTGCCCCCGTGCTTCTAGTTAGGCATTAGATAGACGAGATGGTGTGAACGCAATCTCGAAAATGCGACGGACATGTGCATATAGCAAAGTGTGAAGGCAAGATCTTCGAGTAAAAGGTGTTAGTGAACACATGAATTTGACACAATGCTTTTGGTTGAAGGTAATGTACCCATGCTCTATCCTACATTCAAAATCCATGCGCGCATTTCCAAGAAAACGTGTATCGTGAATTCCATCAAGTGGGATTTTAGAGGGTTATACTCTTTCCATCTCTGATTGGAGGAAAATTCATCTAAAGCAAATATAGTTGATGTTTATGTTTGCAGCTCATCGGCTATAAATCGAATAGAGGTTTCCTCCAATTATAAATGGGGGAAGACATAGAGTGATTTTAGATTGGACAGAGAGCATTATGGACAAATTACGGCAAAATTAGTGGATACAAGTTATTGACATCATAGAAATCTTCTACATTCAAACTTAATTAAATTGAAGTGTGTCTGGTGTCACAGTCCCACCAACTAGAAATCTCTCATCTACAAAGCGTTATATTCATTTCCTCCATCCATGATCATAAGAAAATTAGTTGATATAAGTTATGGACATCACGGACATCCTCCACCTTCAAACTCAGTCAAACCGAAGCGTGTTTGGTGTCATGCTTCCACCAATCAGAAAGCCGGTTAAAGGAAGTTCCCCCCAACTAGACATCGGAGGAATATCATTGGCAGACTGCAATAGAGAAAAGAGCCACGAGTGCAAAAATAAATCGATTTACAAATATATTAAAATCTCTTCTGATCATCCAATCAATTGGAAATTAAAGAATCAAAGTTTTCCTAGCAATCTCACCTTAATGTCTAAGCAACAACGGCGGATCTCTCAATAATGAGCCAGAAAAAGGACAAAAAAGGGCAAGAAAAGGTGGAACCTCCCGAGGCTCCAACCTGGCCGCCACCATCCGACGTGGCGGGGAGAGGCGCGTGCCCCCACGCGCTCTTCCCCTCGCGACCCTTTTGTGGGATGTGGGGTCTCGGAATTCGACACGTCCGTGCATGACACGTTTACCGAGCGGGGGGGGGGGGGGTCGACGTGAAAACGGTGCGCCCTCGTGCATGGGATTGAAACCCATCGGAAACGACGCCGCCCTACCCATTGGCCCGGGGTGCGCCTCGGGCTAGAGAGATCATCATGGTCTTATAATTGCATCTCCTTAAAGACAGCTAGGAAGAAACCCGGGACCCCACCGCCCGGTTTCTCACCCTAAAAACCAATTTCCGACCCTGCTTTTTTTAGGGGGAACAAGAGAGAGAAAGAAGTCCCTCTGAAGATTCGGAGAAACCGAGAGTAAAAGATTTGATCTCTTCGTGGCGCCCCAAAAGCAAGAAGCAAACCTCTAACCCGAAACCCCAAAACGAGATCTAATCCGTCGTTAATTTCGCCGAGAAAAAGAGAGGGAAAGCGGGCAGCTTTCGGGCTGTCCGATCTCGTTCTTTCTTGCGTGGGGAAAGAGAAGGAAGGAAGGAAGTTTGAAACGTGAGAATGTGATGCCCTGTGCCCCCCTCACCCCAATGTGTAGTTCGGATTTCTTTCTTATCCTCTTTCACGTTGCTGCAAAATCATCGACCGTTTTGAAACAAGCGCGTAAATATGGGACTGTTGGTATTTGCCGTAGTCAACCGATCCTTTTGAACTCATCATGGACCTCGAGACCAGGGGGACATTTGCTGCCCGCGGACGAGACGTTCGGACATCGGACCGTCCAACGATTGATTTGGGTTCTGTACACGTGAAGTGACCTCGGTTCGCTTTACAGCTTGACGTTGGCTAGGCACCCAACGAACGATTCTTTCGGATTTCGATCGCGACAAATAATATTTCATTTACATTGCTCCAACATTGTTCAGAACGAATCTTGCAATGAAAACCCTAAGTTGCAGATGGCCAACCGAACGAGACTCCCCCGGCTCACAACCCTCACAACCCGCCGCCGCCATCACTGGCCATCTTGCCGGGCACCGACGATCTCGAGAAGATCTTCTGCCCCGGCGCGAGGACCGCCATCGGGTCGAACCTCGCCTTCCTCTCCACGAACCTCGCCCACTGCTGCTTCCCGAAGTGCCGCTTCCACTCCTCCTGCGACTGGTAGTAGGGGAGGTACAGCTTGTAGTCGAACCCGTTGTCGTCGCAGGTCCGCAGGATCTCGCGGTTCTGAGAGACCAGCTCGTCGGCCTGCGGGCCAACCGGGTACGGGAGGGTGTACCGGAGCAGGGCCACGAGGTAGAAGATCTCGCCGGACTCCGGCAGCACCACGGACGTGCGCTTGTCCCACCTGAGGCATAAATTTAAAGAAAAACCATCAACGATTTTCATCGAACACCCTTCTAATCCACAAGAACCACGACAAGCTAGGCGACAGCGTCGTATAATAATTGGGGCTTTGGCGAATAATAACGCTTGTCGTTTCCCAAATGGCAAAAGAAGACTGGCCAACAAAAGTAACATCTCCTCGATATCTCATTTTCTACAAAAAGAGGGGGAGACATGCAATGACGGAAACGCCCCTCAAAGTACCCTCGTACCTTTTCACTCGCTTCGCTTTACATCAAACCCCCCTAGGTCATAAATTATTCAGCCCCCAAAAAATAAAAAAAAATATATATATATATAATAAAAAAAAAGTTATGTAAATTCACCACAGCAGCGACCTGGCCAAAAGGTCAAAAGAGAGAGCCTGTGCCAAAAGGTCGGGCAACCAAAAGAAGCATGAAATTTCTGTACAAAATTGTAATTTCGCGTGGTCCCCCCGAGCCCTATCTTCTTCTTTATCTTGTCGCTTTGTTATCGCGAAGTACCCATTTTCCAATGTACTGTTTTTGCTCGTATTACGCCAGCTCACCCGCGCCCAACACCAAGCACCTACCGATGACGTCCTAGGCCCGGCACAAGATTGAGTCGATCAGCGTCACACTCATAAAATCTCGATACTTGGCCCGATTCGATCTCGGGATCTTCTTTAAAAAAGAATCTAGAATACAGGCTGTCGCGCCTTATGAGATAAGTAGAATCTCGTGTCGAGCCGGATGGGAAAATTATGCAAAAAAGTCTTACATTCATTATAATTTTGCCAATTCAGTCATGAATCTTACAACTGTACCAAATGAGTTCTAAACTTTTTATAGTACATCTTGCCAATTTTGGCCGGAAACCGTTGATGTGGACGTCGGCTGTCCTCGTGGCATGGCCGGCATTAAAGTGAACAAAATTTATTAACTGTTAATATTTTTTAGAAATATTTTTATTCCTCCTTTCTTTTTCTTTTTTTTTGTTCTCCTTTTTCCTTTGCCGGTGTCCGGCCCTACCCAAGGCCAGGAGGTCGCCCCTTTCAGCCAACGATCATCGCTGATGCTGGGCGACCGGCAAAGGAAGAAGGAGAAAACAATTTGTTCACTTCAACGTCGCCTTGTAGGAAGCCGGTCGACATTCACGACAGAGATTTTTTGCTAAAATCGACTTAATGGGCTATAAAAAAATTATGACTAATTTGACACAATCGAAAAATTTAGAATTGAACCGATAAAAATGCAATAAATGCAATAAATGGAATACCTCAATCAGGCTCAAATTGCATTTCCAACGCAAATGCACACAATCGAAGTCGATTTCGAGCTTGACGTTCTATCATCTCGACCCGACCGCAACGACTGGTGCAGACAGCAACAAGAGAGGGGTGGGGGTGAGGGAGGGGGAGAGGAGGGCGCGTGATTGGGTACAGTGGGATGCAGGGTACGGACGGTGCAACCGTCAGTGGGGCGCAATCAAAAAAAGGGCTTGGGGTAGCGGGTGGGTCCCCCCGAATTTGGGCTGACCTCAGAACAGGAGCTATAGGAAGAAGAGTTTGACCCACCCTCCCTTCGAAATCTTAACCACCAGATTTTAATGATGGTTCCGTGAAAAAAAACAACCAGTCAGCATATCCTTCCCGCATAACAAGGGACAAATTTTGCATATCCGCGGCGGGCCCCACGTCGCCGCCGCCCCCCGCCACGTCGCCGCGGCAGCCACCCGGCGGGCCTACGACACGTGGCGGCCCGAGGAACGGAACATGGGCCCAACGAGGCGCGACTAAAGTTCGTGCCATATCTTTATCAGCACATCACGTGATATACTAGAGATGTTCGATGGGGGGTGATCATGCAAAGAAAGAAATCGGAAGAGAGAGAGGTCTTTGCCGGACTAACCTGCTCCGGAGCATGGGGTAGACCAGCATGGGCCCGCCGATGCCGTCCTTCAGGACGCCCTTGAACACCGCCCGGTCGAAGGCGGCGATGTCGGCCCCGGAGACGAACATGTTCAGCCACGGGTGCGGCACGTCCCAGAGCCCCGTGGCCTTGGCGTGCCGCTCCGCGTGCTGCACCCGCAGCAGGAACTCCGCGTAGCCCACGTCCCGCCGGAACTCCAGCCCCTCCACGAATCCCAGCCGTCCGAGCAATCTCCCCACCACCTGTAGAGAACACGAGATTAAAAAATCAAGAAAATCAAGGAGATCGCCCCGAGGGCATTTGGGTAAAATTCACGGCCGGGAAATGACGTGGCGCTTTGGCCGTTTGCGGTGGGTGCGTGTGCGTGGCGCCTGCGCCGGGGCGGGGGACCGACCAAAACGTCAGGCAAAATCTCCGCGATCAGGCCCCCTCGGGGGGTGGGGACCCGCTTTTACCGAAATAGCCCCGACCCGACGCCCGAACCACGAAAGCGGCACCGCGGCTCGTGCGCAGTTGTGGAAAGGGCGGGGGCACGCGTGCGGTGTCGTGCCTGCAATTTGCGGGCGAGCGCGGGGGCACTTACGTCATGTCGCGCGGGGGGGCCGGGGGGACGTTGTTGTCAGAAAATCCAATGGGAGATGCGTCTGCTGCGCCCCGTGCCGTCAGCTTCAGTGGCCCGAAGTAACTCCCGCGAAGACCAAAAAACCATTTAAAAAAATTCACGCGAAAAACATTTCTTTTTTCAAATGCGAAAAACAATCATATTTCTTAAAAAAAAATAATAAGGATATTAAATTTCTTTTAAAATATTTCGTTTTTTTTTTTTGGGGTCGCCGGAGCACTCGATGGGTCGCACTAATTTTATATTTATCCCCCCCCCCCCCCCGTGAATACTTTAAAATATTATCTTTTATTTTCCGTTTTTTCAAACGCGACATGATGGTGGGGAGAAATTGGGCCGGGGACGGCGGGGGGGGGGCCGATCTGAGCTTTGTACACGTGTGAGTCCAACCGGGCAATCGCCAGCTTTCGCCCTCTCGCCTGTCCAGCTCGGACGGTTCCCACGTGCGGGCCCCCACCCCCACCCCTCCCGAAGGTGGGGGCCCAACCGAGGTCAAAACCCGGAGCTACGAAAGCTCGCTCCATATTTTCCCCCCTAGGGGTTTTTTTTTTCAATACGGGAATTATTTGCAAAAAAATGATTCTAAAAAATTCCGGTAAATATATGGAAAAATCAAATACGACGCGGTGCGGTTTTTTTTTTCTTTTTTGAACGAGTGACTTCATTTCGAAAAGAGCAGACAACTACGTGTGTTACCAGGGATGACGTGCGATTGGAATCTGAACGAGTGATTAGACGGTCCGTCAGATGATATAAACATCACAGCACATGCCATGCCGCATCTCAAAAAAGTAGGACCCTTTAGCTCTAGCTCGGGACATTTTAGGCTAATCCCATAGGTGGACCGCGACCGTTTTTAACGAGACGAGGAAAAGAAAAGAAGAGGAAAGAAAGAGAAAAGATGCATGATTGATGGACGCAAATTTGTGGGGTTCAGAAGGGGGGTCGCGTTCGTTACCGCATCGACGGACGAGGGAGGGTCGCTGCCCTGGTGGTGGAGGCCCAGCTCGAGGCAGTAGAGGACCGAGCCGGCGCCCGGGGCCAGCCGGGCCGGGTCGAACCGCTGGTCCGGGCCGAGGGGCACCGTGGGCCAGCCGTTGACCGGGTCGTCGCTGTTCACGAAGGCGAACCCCTCGATGTAGTCGAACGTGTCGCCGTCCGGCCGGGTCACCAGCCACTCAGCGTCCCGGGTGAAGTCGACAAAGTCCGCGTACACCACCCTTATCCACCGCACCTGCCGGAAATCGCCCACCACCACAACATATAAAGAATTTTTGGAAAAAAAAAATTCGCATGAAATTAGCAAAGAAAAAAAAAAAGGGAATAATTCAACAAAGAGAAAAGAAAGAATTCGAAATCGAAGAGTGGTGTTGGTGTTCGTACCATATCGGGTGCGGGTTGAAGCAAGATCTTCGCCTTGGTGATTATGCCGAATTGGCCGAGGCCGCCGAGGACGGCGAAGAAGAGCTCCGAGTTGTCGCTGCCGCTGCAGACCAGCGTGTCGCCCTGGCCGGTGACCACCTCCAGCTCCGTCACGTTGGACGTCTGCGGGCCGTAGCGGAAGGCCTGGCCGCTGACGCCGGCGTTGGACAGCGTCCCCCCGACCGTCAGGCCCAGGTAGTCGGTGTACGACCGCGGCGCGAGGCCGTGGCGCAGGCACCACTCCAGGACGTCCTCCCATAATGCCCCCCCGGCAACGACGGCGTAGTACTCGTCGGCGCCGCCGACGACCTGGAAGTGGTCCGCGTCCGTCGAGCGCATGTCGACGACGAGGCCGCCGTCCGACATGGCCTGGCCGTTGATGGAGTGGCCGTTGCCCCGGGCGGCGACCGTCAGGCTGGGGGACCGGAGGGCGGCCCTGACGGAGCGGGCCACGTCGTCGGGGCCGGAGGGGCGGACGACGGCGAGGGGCTTGGCCGAGCGGAAGCCGCCGAAGTCCTTGGCGGCGGTGGCGGTGGCCGCCGGGGACCAGTCCAGGGTCCCCTGGAGCTGGAGGTCGAGGCCGGAGACGCCGTCGTCCTGCCTCGTCTCGGTGTCGTTCTCGTGGACGAAACGCTCCGCGTACGCTATCATCATTCGAGCTTCGCGGGTCTCGATCGATTCCGCCTCTGCTTCCGAGTTCCCGCTTCTCTGAATCGAAGAAAAAACGAAAAAAATTCGAAGCTTTTGCTCTCTCTCTCTCTCTAGCCTCTGTTTCTCTCTCTACTGGTTTCACTTTTGGAGTTAGAGAGAGAAAGAGCGAAGGATGGGCTTCTTAAATAGCGGCTGAGCAAGGGACCAGAGATCGAATTATGACGTCAGCATCGGCCTTGGGGTTCGATATCGTGTTTAAACGTTATGATCCCCATCCCCATTGATCTGTCTGCCACTTCCATGCTTATGGAAGTTTAATATTTGACAGAGTGCATATTGTTTTTTATAAGGTCGGTTTCCCATTTTTTTAGGGACCGTTTTTGTTCTTAACTTGACCCTTCTTTCTGAAAAGGAAAAATTGGAAAAGATTGTGAGGACCATCATCGTGCTTATTCGCTTGTGATTTTCTTCACATATTTGGTCATGGTTAAAGCACTCGAGTTATTTTCTCGATGGACCATCATGGTTAGGTAAATCCCCGCGCTTAAAATCTCATCGGACTCTCTCCCGGATCGTGTGATCAGTTAGATGAGATAGGATTCACGTGAGACCGACTTGATATATCGGTTCTTATATTTCATTGTTCGTTCGTGTTCCATGAATGTTGATTGGAAACAGATTGGAGGCCAAGAGTTCGAATGTTGTATCCTCCTCTTCTTCCTCGCTGTGCAACCTCCATCTTAATAGGAAAATGTTCATATCTTATCATTTCCACACTTTGCCTATGAGTTAATTTAAAATAGGGTTGACTGGTTCTCGGGTGAGCCGGTTCCTATCCTGGAACCGAAAACCGACTACTAAGGACCGATTCTACAAACCCTGAAACTGGGAACATCTCGTTGGTTCTTAGACCCACCTGAGAATCGGACCACAAGTCGGGTTCGATTCTCGAGTGGTGGTTCCATCCTTGGAATTGGGAACCGGACCGATATTCATGGGAATTGCCCGAAGCCGGCCGGTTCGGTCCTGGTGGTTGCCGATTCGGATGGTTTTTTTTATACGCCTCTAACTTAAATAAGTGAAGCATAAGTCAAATGCTTTTACTTCTCTAAGGAGTAATGAAAAAAATTATTTTTTTGTGAGATCGTGGTATCAACAATATTTTGCTCGTTCTAATTTCCATATTCTATTCCAACAATATTTTGCAAGTTCTAATTTCCATCTTCTATTCTTCTGTAGTCTCAGCCGACTGTGGAAAAAGATCTGACAGGTACTTAGTATGTGATGCAAGTTCATCTGACAAATTTTTGGTAGGGTTGTTGACATACGAGGACATTGTAGTAGCAAATAGAAAGTAATGGTCCTTTGAGCAAACAACCGAGATGGCATCTCTTTGGTTTTATAGAAGATAATCACTTGCCAGAAAAACGAGACACAAAAATTGATACGATACCCCTCTAATCTTGGTGCAAAATCTTGGAGATTTCGAGGTACGGAATTAGTCGATTGCGGTGATTTGCCACCGTCCGAAACACAGTTTTCAAATGCATAAATTTCGTTAACGAGAATCGTCGATACGGTTGTCGACGGACCCAAAAAAAGGGATTTTGTATTCCTATAGACAACTCTTTGATTTGTGAGTAGATGTTTTCGTCCTGATCGACATGCATAATGAATTTCGTTATCGAGGATCGTCTAGACCATTGTCCACGGACCAAAAGAGGGGAGTTGTTTCTCGTTCTCGATGCTGCTTTTTTCTCATTTCGCGTGTGATCGATGCTTTGGAAATCGATGATAATGCATAGCAAGTACATGTTTGAAGTTGCTGATAATGTCTGATCTAGCTTCCTAGAGCTGACTTGTATTATTCAATGGTGTCAAGACATATGTCTCGTCCATTCATTCCCGCTCTTCGCCGGCTTCCCACGCTTCTTTCTTTGAGAAAAATTTAATAGACAAGAGTTGTGGTCAACTCCTTTTTTTTCCCCTTAAACAAAATTCGTTTAGTCAAAGCTTATCGATTTGGTTTTAGCACTTAAATTTTTCCTTAAACAACCTTGTAGTCGTCGACCTTGTTGCTACATCCAAGCCCTAGAATAGCTCACGAGCGCCCCTTCTATAAGTGTTACAAATGGCTTTTGAAACAGGGGAATGTGGTAAGAAAATAAAGTGAAAATTGTTTATGATTGGTATAGAGGAAAGACCACGAATTGTGTGGTGTCATTTTTTAAACTGGCAACATGTTCGGTGGTAATAGTAATTGTTACATTACATATGTATCGCGGTCTGACCGTCTATTAAAGTGTTTGCTTGCAGTGGTAACTATTGTGGCATAATCTCTATTGCGGCCAAAGATGTGAAGCTATTACATGACTGCCTTACGCCCGGACTTTAGTAGCTATCTTCAAAATACCCCCATCTCATTTTTCCTTTCTAATTCTCTCAATGTTAGGTTTATCGATTATAATAAATTATAACTAAGTTCATTTGTATTATTTATATAAAGATAACGCCAATTACAATTATATGGGTTGTTACGCTCATAATTGGATACCTATTGGAGAAAATATCTCTCAACAGCAAAGCAATTCCAAAAATTGCTCTCAATCAAATCAAGACCAGTCAAGCAATTACTGTACTATTGGCAAGTGCAGCGAGAGTTTTCAAAGTTGACAAATTTATTTTATCTTTCTTTGTATAGAGAATTTTATCTTTCCATATATAAAAGCCGTAGCTAGGAAAGTTAATTATTATAGTTATTCTAGCTAATAGAATCACATGATATGGGCTTAATTTTTAATTATAATCATTAATGAAAGAGATAAATATATAATATAATAAATTATATATTGGAGAATTAAACTCATGAGTACCATGGTTGAATATTAAAGTGATAAGTAATATATCTCCTCTAATATTGATTTCGGGGTGTGTTGGAAGGTTTTGTGATGTTCCCCTCCCTCTTATTACATATGACTTTTGTAAAACAAAACATGTAATATTACTTAAACCAAATAGTTATTATGGCTCTTTCACATTACAAAAAGGGCATTCACTTAATCTTTCAAATGTATATTTCTTGTACACACGTAACGTGTGTTTACATTTGCTACTGGTTTTAGAATAAGATCACACGAGTAAAGTATACTATCATATAAAGCAAAAGGACTTTCTACTTCGAAGAGATCTCAATTATTTTTTTTCTTCTCTAAATATTCTTAATAATATATTTTATTGATATTATATCAATGGACAAATGCGTAAGCTAATAACTATATTTTCTCTCTTGTGAATTTCAACTTTACAATTTGAGTCTTGTGCTTTGACAACCTTCCTGAAAAAAATTTCCGAATTGCGATGTATTTTTCTTTTGTTTCTTGTATATCTATACAATATCTTTATATCGTGTGTTTTTATGAATCCATTATCTAGTCATTCATATTTTTCGTAACAAACTCGTTTTACTCAATTTTCCAAATGTCCATTGTTTGTATACATGCAACCGGTGCGCGCATTTGATATTATGTAAAAGGAAAAGTCATAGAATATATATGTCAAGAAAGGTTTGCTTATTTTGGAGAATAACCTTAGAATGTTGTGAGATGAGAAACATTCAGCCAGATTTGTTTTCAAGAGATTTAATGAATGAAAATATTCTTGATTACCTTTTCGCGATTTTGACCCTTGTTGAAATCTATATGATCGTAATTTTGGGAAAATTACCAAAAAAGTTCTAATCCTATTATAATTGTGTCAATTAGTATATCTGATCAATTTTGGTCGGCTGGCGCAGACGAGGACACCGGCGCTAGCTGTCCGGCCAACGTCGCCGTTACAATTTTTAGATATTTTATTAGTCTTTTTTCGTTTTCCTTTTCTTCCTTCCTTTTTTTTCCCCATAGTGGCCGGTGAACATCCCATTGCCACGTCAGCGCCGATCGGCCAAAATTGGCTAGATGAACTAAATTGGTCAAAATGCAAAAAGTTTAGGGATTGAATTGGCACAATTGCAATATATTTAAGACCTTTTTTGGTAATTTTCCCTTGTAATTTTTAAAGTGACTAAACTAAATAGCAAGAGTAAAATCACAAGAAAAGAACTAAAAAAAGCCATTCTAAACACACATTATATGCTAATTAGTAATTACTCAGCCGGACAATAACAGTACGATTAGCAGGAAATCAGACATAAAAGAATCGGACATTGCTGTGCTGAAGTGACTCACACTGTCCACCAATCTGAGACATTAGCATCTACAGGTTGTTAGAGATGTCTTGGTCGCACCACTTTAAATTTTAAAACGAAAAATTAGTCATCTCTCACCATATTTTAATTCTATTTTCCTTTCCTTAAAACATGGTTCCTTCTCTGATAATCGCGCTTAAGAAGATTACTTTATAGTTCTCGTTGAGCCTCCCCAAAGTCAAACAGTATATCATATAGCAAAGTCAACGGGAACCGATGAATCGACAGCTTCTGCTACAGTGCGGTGTACATAACCTAGATAAGAAAAGAAAAAAACTAAAAAATAATAGATAACATAATCATATATTCCCTTTAATCCCAATAATGCATTATAGATTAATGAAGACTGAGCTGGCAGATACATGCTCTCTTCCCACTGTTCACTTCTCCACTCTATCTTTTATTGAAATTAATCACATGCGAAAATGTATGTTAAGGCATGTAAATCACCGCCCGAAGTTCATAAGATATGAATGAACGTGGGTCAAAGCCAACTCGAATATACCTTAGGAAATTATATCTATTGAATACATATCAAGGTTGATATTTGGAATTCCAATGAATTAAGTAGTATTTGTTTTTGTCAAAGATGTGATATTTAAGAGTTCTTAGGCATCACTGATTCAGTCATGAAGTATGCCGCCTAATTTAATGTTAGCTAGCTGGTGAAGTCCATTTAATATAGATATCTATTAGATCAAGACTTCATTTAGTTCTCGAGATCGACCGATGGCTTGTATGATCGATAAACCCTTGATTAGGCTTCTCATTCAAATTACCGTTTCCTTTCTCCTATTTATATCGGGCTTCCGGAATCTATTGTGATAGAAATTACTCTGGATCGTTATGATCTGTGTGTTGACACTAAGAAAAGCCTAAGTCTTCGACTGTCGACTCGGAATGGAAGAGATCGAGCA